GTGAATTAAGGATTGGATTTAAGCTGCTCAAGGTAAATACAATTAGAAGTGGGTCGACCTCGTTGTCGTAACTTGGTCTTATTGTCAGGGTGACTTAGTAGAACGCAACTAGTCCGAAGTCGTCTGCCATAGTAGTTGTCATGATTCCCAGCATCAGACAGAGGGCTTGGTACATTTTCAGACATTTCGCCGGCATCTTAGTCGGCATCATCAGTCAGTGCTGCCATTCTCCAAGTGAAGTCAATCCCTCGACAACCGTTCTGCTGGAAACGGTTACACTATCACTCCTCTTGCAGTCCTGGCCTATCTATACACTCTTTACCCTCTTATCCCATTGCGGCCCGATCACAACTTCTCACTTGTTTACATTCAAATCGTCAAAATGTGTGTTCTTTTGTAACAAATCTAGTGTGGCCTCATCCCACTTGCTATTCACCCCGACCCCTATCTTTCGATCGGCTGATCCGACCCAACCCTCCAATCCAGTTCCTCTCATTGTCTCGTAGATCCAACTGGACTGGAACCGAGTAAAATCAGTCAACCAGAAGGATAAGGATGAGGAGGACCTACTCATGTGATTGCTGGAAAGTTCAACTTTCCTTCTTTTTTCACCTTATGTAACCTAGTGTGATGTAAAAAAGTAGACAGACGTGCCTTGAGCTGAAGCCAATTCCTAAAACGAAGTCAAGTGTCCTAAATCTTCTTTATAGCCACGCCTTTAAGAGGAATGAATGTATAGACATACGTAAAGATGGATAGGCTTTCATCTCAAGTGGACGTTGAAAGACGACGGCGGGTCACCTTTTGTCTGCTGTCGTTTGGGTCTATCTGGACATTCGGGCCCTTTAGACATGTTTTTTCAGTTCATCTTTCCTGCCAATTGACACTCATTTTCAGAGCAATGACGTGTTCTCATGACCCCTTCGAGGGTTCAACAAGTTGGGACGGCGATAACTTAAACCTCGCAGCAGCATCAAAGGGCCACAGGCCCCATGGAACCAACCACTGTCGCATTTTGCTGGGACCGAAGGGGAATTGCAGAGTTTCTTCGAAATCGCTTGCTCTGCAAACCCGGTCGGTTCTTTCCCTTGTCAATCTTGACTTGATGTCTGACTATTGTGCTTGAGTGCGTTTATGTCGTCTCGGCAGATGACCGATTGTAGCCCAGTTACACTCTGATTATATACCAGAAGCTGTCTGTTGTTGGGAAGCAAAAGTGTGCCTACCCTTAAATGGTACGTTCGACGAACTCGAGGCTGCATCACCTAGGCGACCAGAAACCGCCTCTTTCAGCGTTCATTATGGCCGTGTGAGATAAGTCACGACCGAGTGTGCAATAGATGGGAAAGCATGTGAAAAGAGAACCGATTCGGGTGAGAAAAATAGGTCCAGGCGTTCTCTTGCAACATCTTGCATACACATAAAGTGCTTTTGTGTTTGTGTTGCTGTTGGTGCATTTATGATGGAGAAGTATGTTCAGTAAAGCCAGTGATTCCAACCATTCATGCAATGCATTGATGCATTTCGGTTGATAGTTCAATTGCTTCCAATCATGCCATGGGATACCGCGCGATGCCATTCAATTTCACATAGCCTCGTCTGTCACAAAAGGTTTTCCTCGGTGCCTACTTAATAATAATATATCCAAAAGGTGTAGATTTTAATGCCAAATACAATTATGACATCTGGCTTGCCTTGAAGGTATCATTTTGCCAGTGACCCAGTGGAGCACGATGTGGATTCGAATCGCGGGCCAAAACTCGTATCATCTTAAACGAAATGGGATGAATAAATCTCCCATATTTAATATTCTGTGGTA